TATGGGGGGTTATTAGTGTTAGGCTGCAATCTGAAAAGTCAGTTCTTTGAAACCACCTTTTCTTTTCTCCTTGGGAGAAAGAAGGGGCTTCCTACTCCTATAAAAAGGTACAGTCTCAGAAACTCATGGGGCAGTTCTACCCAGTTCTATAGGATTGCTATCAGTCAGCATCGACTCAATGGCAGTGAGGGTTTGTTGTTGTTGTTTTTAAGGGAAGACAGTAGGTTAGCACAAGCCAGGATCAATAAACACTAAGGGTACAGTCACTGGTCCACAGTAACACCTCTCCTCGATCAGCATCCATGTCTCGCTCTGTTCCTCAGCTTCTCAACCTTGGCCTCTGCCTCCATGGACCAGGAAGCCCACCCCCTGCTCTGCCTCACAGCTGGGTTTCTTGATTCTAGGTGCTTTGTGCTAGAGTACAGTGCCCAGGGAGCCAATTTCACCATCATTTCTCACCACCTCTTTCTTCAGCCTTCTCCTTCCTCTATGTAGACTCCATCCCATTTTTATCACCGTTCTGCTCTGGACCCCAAACAGGGGACCCAATAGAACAAGGTGGTTGCAGTTCCCAGCACTGAGTTCATGTCGTCAATCAAGACAGTCCTAGAGACTGGGGGATTGGAACCCAGGGCCCAGGCAGTGGCTGCTTTAAGGGAGAGGAACAAAAATTGAATGTGTTCATTTCCCAGGAGACTCAAGGTGGGATAATGGGGGTACCTGGCCAGGACGAGAATGCAGAAACACTTGGTTCTTCCAGATCCACTGGCCTCAGCCTCAGAGAGCAAATGGAGCCCAGAGAAAAATCAGGGAACTTTCAGAAGGATGAATGCTCAATGTCCCACCAGGGAAGGATGCAGCAGCAGCAGCAGCTATAAGACCCACCAGTTGTTGTCCCTCTCCCTTTTGTTCAAGAGCCTGGGTGGGAAGGGCAACCTGCTCCCCGCAGGCTCCTTGCCTTTGCAGGTTAGTCAGAAGAATCCTGTATACACACAAACACATGCAAACACTTTAAGCTGGGAGATGCACTCTCCGTCTGATGGGGGGCAGGACTTGGCCAAGAAAACAGAGACCTCACCAAGGGCAAGGTGGTACCTCCTCCCTAGTGCTTGCTTGTCTGCGCCTCATTGGCTCCCACCCATGCACAAGATGGCAGGGTATTCGTCATTCTCTCCACTGGCCTTCCTGTTTAGGCTTTGTTCTCATAGAGCTGGTCTGGCCTGGGTTGGACTACTCCAGCTTGAGCCAAGAGCACTGGGCTTATTAAGGGTTTTCTGTATGCAAGGTGCACCATCCAGCATCTTCCCCTTACACCCATCCACACTTCCCTCTGGCCCTCGACTTCAAGATTCCCAGATATTGGCAATCCAGAGTTCTGCAGCAGCCCTTCTGGCATGCAATGCACGTAATTGAGAATGAATCAAATTTCCTCAGCACTTTTTGGAAATCCAATGCAAAGATGAGTATGATTCAAAGAAGTACACAGTTGAGGAAGGTGGTTGCTGTCAGCAAATGATGAGAACGAGTGTGAGGAGAAGTCATCTGGTAGGTGTATGCAGAGGGAGTTTTGAGTCTGACCCAATGCAAAGTGCTATTTGCCAGCTTTCTAGGAATTTAGCCACTCCAGGAGAAAGAAGCAACATGTGGAGAGGGTCGGAGAAAGGAAATCATACCACATCAATCTCCAGAAGTGTGTTTATTTGGTAAGTTTGAACTGTCGACCTTTCCGTCAGCAGCCTGGTGCTGAACCACTGCGCTACTGGGACTCCTTAACATTGGAAATAGTGCCAGAGCATAGGTTGTATGCATTGGAGTAGATTCCAACTTATTGGAGTAGATTCCAACTCAGACCTTTTCTGAGGCTTTCTGCACCCATAAAGAATTATAGTCTTGGAAACTGACAGGGGCAGTTGTTCACTATGAGTCAGAATTAACTCAATGGAATTGGGTTACTTAGGCCATGTTAAACTAATCCTACTTAAGTTATTTACTTGAACTGCTTATTAGACTTATTACGCAGTGTAAGGAATATACTTGGCCAACTAAGAGGAAGAGATCCATATTTGTACCCATTCCAAAGAAAGGCGACTCAACAAAATGCTCAAACCATAGAACAATATCATTGATATCACATACAAGTAAAATTGTGCTGAAGATCATCCAACAAAGGTTGCAGCAGTACACTGAAAGGGAGCTGACAAAGATTCAGGCCAGATTCAGATGAAGATGTAGAACAAGGAATATCATTACTTATGCCAGATGAATCTTGGCTGAAAGTAGAGAATACCAGAAAGATGTCTATTTGTGTTTTATGCACTACGCCATGACATTCCACTGTGTGGATAACAAACTGTGGATAACCTTGAGAAGAATGGGAATTCTAGAACACTCCATTTTTCTATTATGGATCCTGTATTTAGACCCTGAGGCAGTTCAAACAGAACAGGGGGATACTGAATGGTTTGGAATCAGGAAAGGTGTGTTTCAGGGTTGTGTCCTTTCACCATACTTATTTAATCTGCATGCTGAGTACATCATCAGAGAAGCTGGATGATATGAAGACGATTGCGGCATCAAGGTCGGAGGAAGCTTTATTAACCACCTCCATTCAATATGCAGACGACACAACCTTGCTTGTTGAACATGAGGAGGACTTGAAGCACTTTGCTGCTGACGATCAGGGATTGCAGCCTTCAGTATGGATTACAACTCAACGTCAAGAAGACCAAAATCCTCACAACTAGACTGGTAGGTGAAATCATGATAAATGGAAACATTTTGCAAGTTGTGAAGGATTTTGACTTGCTTGGATCCACAATCAATGCTTATGGAAGCAGCAGTCAAGTGATCAAAAGATATGTTGCATGAGGCAAATCTGCTGCACCAGACCTCTTTTGAGAATTGAAAAGAAAGGAAGTTTCTCTGGGGAGTAAGGTGCCTGACTCGTGGTATTTTCAATGGCCCATATGCATGTAAAAGTTAGATGCTGAATAAGGAGGACCGAAGAAGAATCGATGCATTTGAATTGTGATGCTGGAGAAGAATGGTGAAAGTATCATGGATGGCCAAAAGGACAAACAAATCTGTCTTGGAAGAAGTACAGTCAAAGTTCTTTTCAGGGGCAAGGATGGCAAGAATTCATCTTACATATTTTGGACATACTGTCAGGAGAGACCAGTCCCTGGAGAAGGACATCCTGCTTGGTAAAGTGGAGGGCAGCTAAAAAGAGGAAGGCCCTCAATAAGATGGATTTACACCGTGGCTGCAACAATGAGAACACAGGAACAATTGTGAGGATGCTGCAGGGCCCTATGTTCTGTTGTTCATAGGGTCAATATGAGTGGGAGTTGACCCAATGGCACCTAACAACAACAACATAAAACATATTATGCATATTATTCTTCATGTTTGGAGTAAATTTATTTGATTTGATTACATAGTTCAATGCAATGAATTAGTTAACGTGGCTTTGTCTAGCCATAGCCTTTATTACTCCCATCCCATCAAATGGCTTTCATTTTCCTGATGGGTCGGGGGTAAAAAGGTGGGAGAAGCTATTAATAGGAGTATAGGGTTCAGCTGTGAGTGGTTGTTAACAGGGTTTATTGTGATTGCCATCCTGCTGGGTATAAAATCAGCCAGCTCAGCGTCAGGAAGTGGGGAGTTTATTATCAGCACTAGAGAAGGCAAAGGAGTGGAGCGTGTCCTTTGGATCTCTGTACATTGAACCTCCTTGATCCAGGAGACAGCTGTGACACCGGAGGGGAAGCAGAGGAGCAGCAGCAGAACCAGAAGCCAGAGCATGGGACGGAGCAGTGGACGTCCCAGCCCACAGAGCAAGTAAAGCTGAGAACATTTGGAGGCAGGAGACTGGCATGTGGGTTGGGGTGCCTCAAGACACTTAATTGAGGCAGCTGGAGTTGAGTGCCTTCAGGTTCAGGCTTATGATGGAGTTGCATACCCTCTGAGCATTTATTTGAAGCCCTAAAGCTTTGTAACATTGCCCAAGGAGGGCTAAGGGCCAGAGAGAGGCCCGTCTATGGCCACAGCAGAGAAGACACTGTTGTGACAACTGTGTCCCGAACATTTCTCACCTGAATTGCAACCTGCTAACCTCCCTGATAAATCTCAATTGTGAGCAGTCTGAGGGTTTTGTGTGACCATTATAAGGAATCGTGGAACCAACAGAGCAGTATTTTGTAGGCGACAGTTCACACACTGAATTGTTTCATTTTTAAATTTCCTTTTTATTATATTAATGGCCACCTGTCCCAAAACTTTCACTAGAAAGAACTTGTCTGAAACCTTTCCTTTTGCGGAGTCTCAATTGGGTCCCTGAAAGGGGATGCCCCCTCTTGTAGGACACTTCCAGCTGTTAGCTGGGTTTGTGAATTGTAGATTTTGCACCAGAGTGAATGACATTCCTTTCTCATAGTATCCTATCCTCACCCAGTTAATTCTTATGTTCCCAATAATGGCCCCATTTGGAAACATCTGTTAAAATTTTAGTTAGAGAAAATTTCCCTCTGGATTTTTCTTGAAGAAAAACAGTGAGAACCCCCGACACCGGTCCTGGGACTGTACTTGCCAGCAGCCTCCGCTTAGCACTGATTCCAACTTCCCATAACAGGGCGGCTCAGCGTTTTGGGATAGCCCTGCCAGGTCCAGGCAAGCTATTTGGAACTACAACTCCCAGCTGCCCCCACGCGCCGGACCCTCCAAAAAGGGTTTCCCATCAGTCTCTGGAGCTTTCTCTTCAGCCTATCACGGAGGCCGTTGCACGGGCCGGCGAGGGCGAAGAGCCCGCCTCTCGGAGCTGCTTCCCAGGCCCACCGGGAGCACTCTCTCGCCCGCCTCCGCCTCTGCCACGTGATGCAGCTCGGCCAACCGGCGTGCGGAGGAGGGCGGCGGGCGGTGGCTGGAGGCGGGGAAGCCACAGGGGGAGGGCCCCGGAGGGGGCGGAGCGGGGCCCGGAGAGCCGAGCAGCCTGGCAACGGCGGTGGCGGCCGGAGCCGGAGGTGGGTGCGCGCTCGGGGCTGGCCTGGCTTGCAGCCGGGCGCTGCGGGGACCATGGGCGGCTGGGAGGGCGGGAGGAGAGGTTGGCGGCTCGAGCTGACCTGTCCCGCGAGGCCTCTCCGCACCCGGCGGGGCTGCGGCCGAGTGCCTGGCCGTCTGGCGGGGCAGGGTTGAGGTCGGCCGGCAGGCTGGGCGGGCGGGCCGGCAGGTGTCTCTGGCGGCCGCAGGGGGCGAAGGTCGGGCCGGAGTCAGTGCCCACGGGCGGGGGGTCTGTCGCCGCCCCTGACTGGACTTCGCTTCCCTAGCCCGGTCATCTCTACCTCCCCGGCGGCTCTCGGTGGCTGGTTCTCGCCCTGGCCCTCCGAGCGGGTCTGGCCGCCGCCGCATCCCCCCCGAGGGCCCGGCCCGCCCAGGACTTGCCGCGGAGTGTGGGTCGTCACGCATGCGGAGTGTTTCTGGGTCACGCACGGGAGCTTTCTCTGCTTTTGCAACAGTTGAGGGAAGATCTAAGTGGGGACGGTTAGTTCCCTGATACGCAGTCGGAAGTATGCGTAGGAACCAGCTAGTGCCCTGTGCTGGGTTGCCTCCCTCAACTGGCCTGTGCTGTGCTCAGGAAGTGCAAACGAAGTTTAGTGTTTGCCTAAGCAAATAGTAGTAGTCAATCTGCTGCCAATTGTGTAGTGTAGGGTTTATAGAGTGCGTCCACGGTGTGAGAGCCAAAGTGGGTTAGGACTGCTTTTAAACTTGCCAGACTTTCTGTAGAAGGGAAATCGGCATAGACTTTGGAACTCTCCCATAGTTCAGTTTTTCTCCCAGATGGGGACACGAAGGCCTAGAGAGGACTTCCAACATTGCCATTAAGTTCATGGCAACTTAATGGCAAATCCAGGTTCCGAAAGGGCTACTTTGGCCTTCTGTGTAGTCTGAGTTTTTCTTAATACAGCTCATTTGGGTTGGAGTCTTCACGGTTCCAGCAGCCAGACCTTCTGCATACCCTTCCAAACCAGTTTATCAGCAAAGTAAGACACTCAAGACTCGTTACTATAGAGACGTGGTGTACCTTCATGGGAAACACATTGGACAGGATCACATGTTCCTCCGATTTGACTCTGAGGACTGTTTCACACAATCCAATCTACCCTTAAGGGATCCCACCCCCACCAAGGAGCATCCATCCAGCCAGTGAGTGGGTGCCACCTCCAGCACCAATGTAGGAGGGGGCTTCAAAAAGTTTGTAGGGAAATTCCAGTGTCTGTTTAGGCCCTTACCCCTCAGGATCTGTGAAGCCCCCTCCAGTAGCAGCCTCCTCTGGTGGTTGAAAGTGGATAACCCTCATTGGGGCTGATCACTTCTCTTAATGACTGTTAAATACCGTATATACTCATGTATAAGCTGAGTTTTTCAGCAAACTTTTAATGCAGTTTTTGTGTAAAATTAGGTGCCTCATCTGATATTCGGGGTGGCTTATACTCGAGTACATATGGTAAGTGGTCTCCTTACCTTCCAGCCTTCACTTGCATTTATCAAGTTGTCATTGGTTTCATTCATTGATTAAACTTAGGAGTGCCCATGGTGTGTGATCATTTCTTCATAGATGGCCTTTTGGATGGTCAGTTCAGTACAGCCCTGACTTGAGTTACCATTTAACTGCTTCCATGCAAACAACACATGACTTCAAGCACCTGGGTAGGCGGTCTTCAAAGCCCTTACTGTCTCGTTCTCTAGCTGCAGGAGGTTCGCTTGAGGTCAGTATTTGTTGATTTCATGGCAGTCTCTGCCCGGTGAACCTCTTCTCTCAGAGGCCTGTCAATCTTGGTGTTGTGTGGTTTGTAAAGGAACTAGTTCATTTTGAAATTAGCTCAAGTGCAGAAGCACTCAACTTTCTAAGACCAAGCATGCTAATAAAATAGCATTAATGATGACTTCCAATGAGGATTGGTCTTTTTAGTACCCAGCGTTCTCATTCTGTATGTTCAAAGACTTCAAAGCAAGTATTTACATTTTTTACAGGTTCTGAAATAGGATTAAAGCCACACACACACACAAATACCCCAGTATTCTTTGGTCCAAAATGAAAGGAGGATTAGCAAAGGGTAGTTGCTTTAGAAACCCCACTGAAAGCACATGTGACCCGTGCTCCTATTGAGGGTTCCAGAAGAAGAAGAAAAGCACAGACTTTTCAAGGCTTAAGAGGCGACCTTTTTAACATCCGGCCAAGGATTTTAGAAGCCAGAGTGTCTTGTTATTTCTAAAGTCTATTCAATTTTATCACGGAATAATAGGTTGTTTTCATTGGTCTTTAGTAATTTCTCTTCCCTGTTTCTGACCTCTTTGAAGTTCTGCTTTATTTTCTAGTTTCTCACTTCATTATTCCACTTTGGCAGATTGGGTGGAGGTGGAGGAATCGATGGAGTGGGGGCCATTGACTGCAAGGTGTGGACTCTGAGTTGGGCAGGCCACTTGGACCTGAATCCTGGCTCTAGCATGAGCTGTGTGACCTTGGGCGAGTGCTTAGCTGCTCTGCGCCTCAGTTTCCCTTTCTGGGAGAGGAAAATAAACAGTTGGCCTCCTCCTAGGTTTGAGAGCATTGAATGTCGAATCCAGGATCCAAGTTTAGAGCAGCATACTGCACATAGTAGACATTGAAGAAAAATGAACTGTTACTGACTACTTGAATCATACACACTTAAAAAAATTAGCCTAGCTGTGTCCCAATACACTTGGCAAGCCCGTAAGCTTGATTCTCTGTATATTTCTCTGTACTTCACTGCTGACACGAGCTTTTAGTCTCAGTGTGGCATTGGTCATGGTACCCTCAGTTCTTGCAGTGCTTAATCCCCTTTACCCTTTGGACTGAGAGGTTGCTGGAGACCCTGTTTTGCTTGTTGCTACAAACTCTTTGATCTTGGAAGCATATGTATTCCAGGAGACCCAATTGGAGGGAGTTGAGTTAAATCCAGTTGCTGCCCTGTACTTGGAGGGTAGCTTTTCCACAGTGAGAATCTCCCCGCCCCACTTTTTTATTAGGAGTATGGCAGTATCTCTTTCGAAAAGTAGCTCTTCTGTAAGTGCTTACACTCTGTTCAACCAGTAGGAGCGTGGGCAGGGAGGGCATCTTTGTGAGGTGGGAAAAAGCTCCCTGCACTTAGTTTTCAGAAGCCAAGTTCAAGTCCCCATTTGGCCCTTGTTAAGTCTGAGACACTTGTACAAGTCATTTTCCCACAATGGCCGGAGTGTCACCATCTGTTAGACAGAGCTTATCACCCCTGCCCTGCCGAGTGCCTGCAGTTCAACCATGTGCATCCGAGCCTATGGGGAGCTCTGTAACACTCTTATGATTACTGGTGTAAGGGCAGCCGTCCTCTCTGTTCTTGGCCTGTCACCCCTGGAGCCGTCCTGTCCCTCTCCCATCACCACTGAAATAGGCAGGCACCTCTCAAATGGATGGGGAGCCATTGATACACCGCATGTGTTTCCATTTTATTCATTTTTATTCATTCATAAAATGGTAAAACTGTCACAGGAGAGCAAGGCGACCCCTGCATGGGGGTTGTTCGCACAGGGTCTCAGGCCACTCTCCTTCCTTGCGCAGTAAGATGCCAGCACTTGTGGCCACGTCTATTCGCCAGCCCATACCGTTTTCTGTGTTTAAACAGGATGGGTGCCTGGCCACCCTTTTCTGGTACTCAATTTTGCTTCTCAAGCTCTTGAAATGTCTCCATAACGAGTGTGCCCTGCTATCATTTTCCCACCTTCCATGCGCACAGGCCCACCTCAGAGGTGATGCGGGTTCCTTTCCAGGCCACTCCCATAAGGTATAGATGGCAAGCAAGCCAATCACACGGCTGTTTTGCTCTCCCAGATCATAAACAAGCCATGGCGACGCTAGACTTTCATCTCTGAAGTGTACCGAAAGCGTAATGGAAGAGCCTGAGATCCCGAGAGAATGCCTTGCATGTGAAGTGAGCACATGCTGCTGAGAAAAGGATACCGATAAACTTGCTTGCTGCTGGGTTGCCATGAAGCTTCCGGTTTTTCAAAGGTGCCACAGCCATGAGGCACAATAAAGTGAAGTGCCATGGAGGAAATAAAGTGTACCTGCCATAAGGAGTCCCCCTTCTTAGCATGCGATCCCTGATGGGCTGGGGTATGCCCAGTCAGCGTTTGTGTAACTGGCTATGGCTTACACTGGGCAAGACAGGCTCTTCGAATTTGTTTGACTGTGTTCATTTATTGCATGTCCACAAAACACGCTCCCCATTGGCAAGATGAAACATCTCAGGCTTTACCTGTCTGTCCATGGGCACATGAGGAGGAAAGGCCTGAGTATCTAGTGATGGGAGGGTGCAGTCTGACCCTGCTTTCCTTCCTCTGTCTTGATTTCGCTTGCTTTTTTATTTAATGGCTGGTCTACTTGGAATGATAAAGAGGTGAGGGAAGTTAAAGGACAAGAGTTGACAGAAAAAAGGTCAATGTAACTTGTCTGCAATGCGGATTCTGTTTTGACCCTTTTGCCTATAAATCCTGACAGCCCACAGTGCTGTTCTTTCCCTAGCATGTGATCATTGCTCGGTGTTGATAATCATGCCCTTGCACTATGTGTGATACTGCCATCAAGTCCATGCCGACTCATAATGATCCTGAAGGGCAGGGTCTAACTGCCTCTGTGGGTTCCGAGACATTCAATCTTTATGGGAGCAGACAGCCTTGTCTTTCTTCTGCAGAGCAATTGGTTGGGTTCCGACCTCCGCATTTGTGGTTAGCGGCTCAGTGCATAGCCCAATGCCACCAGGGCTGGGGGGAGTACTTTCCCCAACTTCAATGGAATGGGCTGCTTAGGTAGGGCATTGAAAGAAGGGAGGGTGGATTGGGCAGAGGGCAGCCTTCATTTCCCTTATGGCCCCAAGAGTCCATCAACTCCCTTTTGTGGTGATTTAGGAGGTTGAGTATGTGCTTGAGGGTTTGTTCCAGCAGGCCCAGAGTTGGCTGAGGAAACATACCT